TATGTACAGTACCTTCAGTCCAATAAGAGTGAAACTTCTAGGTCAGTACCAGTTTAATTCCTAGTTCTGATAATCAACTATAAGGTATCTTCAGCAATAGGGTCTTACTTACCATCAGGCTATGGATGGTAACCAAGAGCATTAGCAACACCCTATAACATCTGTGGGACCCATTAGCCAACGACTCAAAAATTATTGTTCCTAGCACTGGAATTTTTATTTGCTAGCATATGGTGTCAAGTTGGGGTATTGTTTGCCACTTGTAGTGTAATTCTATTAAATATATAAGCATATATGTGTGTGAGTGTGTGTGCATATGCATACATGCTTCCACATTAATAGGATTTCATATGGCTATTGTAAACGGCCTTTAATGTTAATTATTCCTTCCCATATTCCCTTCTTCCTCTCATCTTCCTATCCTCAATCCCATTTAATTTTTCTTGTTCTATTATTCCCCCTTTCCTCCAAATTTATGTGTATTCTACATCCCCTCCATATCTATGTGTATCTACACCCCCTCCCTTAAAATATCAGTTTCTCGCCGGGGGTTGGTGGCACACGCCTTTAATCCCAGCACTCGGGAGGCAGAGGCAGGCGGATCTCTGTGAGTTCGAGGCCAGCCTGGTCTACCAAGTGAGTTCCAGGAAAGGCGCAAAGCTACACAAAGAAACCCTGTCTTGAAAAAAACAAAAAACAAACAAACAAAAATATATCAGTTTCTCCCCAGTGGTCCTTTACTGCCTTCCTCACCTCTGTGGGTATTCTAAATGAAGCTCACATGGCAAAAGATTCTGAGTTAGCATATGAGAGAAAAAGTGATGTTTTTTTCTTTGGGTCTTGGTTACCTCACTCAGGATAATTTTTCCAGTTCCATTTATTTACTTGTGAATTTTATTATTTCATTTTAAACAGCTGAATAGTATTCCATTGTGTAAATGTGCAAAAATATTTTATTAGCCACTCATCAGTTGATGGACATTTAGGCTGTTTTAATTTCCTGGCTATTGAGAATGGAGCAGTAAAGAACATGGAAGAGCATTACCTCTGTAATAAGATTTTTTAAAATTGTTCAACATCCTTACACATCCAGGAAAATGTAAATTAGAACTACTTTGAGATTTAATTTTACCTCAATCAGAGTAGAGGAGACTTAAAAAAAATGACAATAGATGCTTATTTGTCTATGGTGAAAGAGAATGTTTATTTACTGCTGTTAGGAGTGTAAACTGGGGGAAGACATGGTACTGGAGAAGTAGCTGAGTGTTCTACATCCTGCAGGCAACAGGAAGTCAACTGACACACTGGATAGTATCCTGAGTATAGGAAATTTCAAAGCCCGCCCCCACAATGACACACTTCCTCCAACAAGGTCATACCCACCCCAACAAAGCCATACCTCCTAATAATGCCACTCCCTATGAGCTTATAGAGACCGATTACATTCAAACTACCAAAAACATAATAGCAGCAAGGCTTAGAAAGCTTGGTGACAATCGGAGTGGGTGAAATGGTCAGACACTTGTCATGGGAGCACAAGGACCTGAATTCAGATGCCAGTTACCCACATCAGAAGTCAAGCAAGACAACACATGTCTGTAATCCCCGCAGGGGGAGGCAGAGAGAGGCAGGTCCCTGGAACTCATTGGTCTACCAGCCTAGCCTATCAATGAGTTCCAGGTTCAGCCAGAGACCCTGTCTCACGTAGTCATGTGAACAGAAATCAAAGACATTGGGTGTCATCCTCTGACTTCCACATACACATGGACACACGCATGCACAGGCGCACACACACATACACAAACACACACATTCATACACACACATACACACTACACATACAAATACAGAGACACACAGAGTCAAACATGCTTTTAAAAGAGACAGTCCATGTGTGAGTTTTCTGGCAAAGTATGAGTGCTAGTTCAGGAGCTGTTAATAACAACTGGTTACATTAAAGTATCCCTAATTTTATGAATTTTACTTACATCAAGAACTGGAAAATTGCATTTAGCACACGTAGATATTCAGAGATGTCATTAGAAACACGAGTCAGATTCACTCATTCATTCACTCTCATGACCACCAATGTCTGAGTTCACCTCATCTTTGGGGGACCAGCATGCAGATCCTAGGCATAGCACATATACTTAAAAGCTCACTCTGGTATACCAAACCTGCTCTGTTTGCAATTTGCTCTAATTCCTGAAAACTGTGTCCCTGAATTTTCTTTTATGATTTCATGATTATTAAAATGGTGATGTTCTGCCATGCTATATTAAAAAAAAAAAAAGATAATTTCCTTGCTCCTGTCTGAACTGGATTAACACCAGTGTGGGCACTCCAGGTCTTCAGTGTATTAACACCAGTGTGGGCACTCCAGGGTCTTCAGGGTATTAATACCAGTGCGGGTACTTCAGATCTTCAGTTGTACATAAAGATGAGTCACTTCTATTGCCTGTTAATAGATGATGTCGATATCTGTGAATGCCTGCATCATAAATGAGTCAGGGGACACTGATGATAGGAAACATGCCCCCCAGACTGTCTACCACATACCTTGTATATTCACATGTCACAGGACCCAAAATACTAAGATCATAGTTGTTCAAATCAATGCACATACATTAAAAAATTAAGTACACAAAAAAGTAAGTACAACTAAAGTAGGAGTTGCTTTTGCTTAAAAGTAAATCACTTACAAGATTTGAACATGAGAACTGACTATAGCAGGAAAAGGAAATATTTGTCTCACAGCATTGGTCCCAGTAGGCAATATACATGACATAGGACTTGGCAAAGAAGAGAAAATAAATTAAAATTATTTATCATCATCATCATTATTATTCCAATCTATGTCCCCTACACACACAAACACACACACACACACACACACACACACATATGAGGGGGAAGGGAAAGCGAGAGATGCTCTCACCACATTGGCATTTCAGAACTAGACTATGAGGCATCTTAATTCAGTGCAATGCACCTTTAGTGATATGTTTGAATACAGACATATAGAACTAAAGGAGCCATATCCATCTATCTATCTATCTATCTATCTATCTATCTATCTATCTATCTATCTATCTATCTATCTATCATCTTTCCATATCTATCTATCTTCTATCATCTTTGGTGTATCTAACTACCTTTGCTCATTTACTGCTTTTCTAGAATGTGTTTCCTTTTTAGTTGTTAAAATGGCATCCTTTTTTTTTTTGTATTGTCCATTTCACAAAGCAACCTCTTCCGTCTGAGACACCTGGAGCAAGCAGGGGGCACGGCATGCCTCAGGCAGTGTCTGATTACTGTTTCATATTTGTTTAGTTATCTCAATAATGTTAAAAATTGCAGACATAAAGTTGCCTCTCTTCTAATTGTTCACCTAAAGCACAATTTTAGGTTGGAAATGGGCAATATTCATTAGCTTTAATCTTGTGGACAAAGTCATTGGTACAAAAACATAATTTACAAAATCCTCAGGGAAAACAAAGTTCTGAAAATAAGATTAGAAAATCAGGTAGGATTTTGAAGAGATCGCACCTGGCTGCCAATACGAATCAGCCATCTATCCACCATCTTCTTCTTCCCGTGACATAATGAAGAGAGTAGATGAGAGCAAACATGAATAAATAAACCCATAGCATAATGGCAATGGCGTCTCTGTGACTGAACTGCAGAGAGGTGTGTTTTCAGTCCCAGAGACCTGGGCAGGTCCCCGTGAGGTGGGTGGTGGTGGGGGGCATCAGGCTATAGAGTACATGTCTCCTTCAAGGACCTCCAGGAACAGACAGTAAACTCATTAATATAAGTGTTCCAGGGAGCCAGGCTTTCTTGGAAAAAAACAAATTAGTATGAGAAGCCAGAACTCTGCAATTTCCGTTTTAAAAATAGCCAGTATTATGAAGGCTGCTGTGTGCACAGGAGCAAAGGAAAGTCCTTCTTGATGTTTGCCTCAGCTCTTACATTAGAACAGAAACTACACTGAAATCCTTCCCTGCAAACACTGCAAAGGATGGAAGGTTTGTATTGCTGGAAATTACTTTCTGGTCCTTCGAGTAACAAAGTTTAGGGGATGCGGTTTTCTGTCCTCTCCTATGGAGTCAGTCTTGGATAAAGGACAGGCGAAGGATGGCTCTGCCTCTTTTGCTTAGGACCAGAGCTGAGCCTCCTTTCCTATTTCAGCTCTTCATTTGCCTAATTGCCCTGTGAGCCTGGCAGGGACATTCCCAGCAGGGCTCTGCTGACTGCAGAGACCCTACCTGACACTCCAAGTTGGTATGTCAGCACTTTAGCTTGCAATGAATGAAAAATCAATCTGGGTGACTGCAGTAGTGTATCATACACAGACCTAATCTAGTTTGTCCAAATTTTCAACTCTTCACGGTAGACCCCAGCAGTGTTTAAGATGGTAAGTGACTGTAGCAAAAGGGCTGCTTCTGCTTGATTTGTTTTCTTGCCATCCTCTTTTCTATTTAGAACAAGCAAATTTAACCTGCTTAGGAAGCCACATGGGCAAGGAATGATGATGTTAAGGCTCATGCAAATACCCTTGATTTGCTCTGGTTTAAGATTCAGTTCCTAATTAGGCTGGCTGGATAAATATTCATAGATAGATGTGCCAAATTGCTCTTTTGTTAACTTACACTCCAAACTCAGGGGTTAATGTTTTAAGAGTGTTTGCCTCCTCACTAAAGCTCCTTCTAACTCTTTGTAAGTCTTCATGCCAAAAGCACAGTGTTTGAAATTTCCACGTTTACAATTCTGCAAAGACAGAGTTAAACACTGTTTGGACTCTGGCTGCCTAAGAGGAACTGAAATTTTTCAAAGCTCGGTCGTCAGCTCTTCAGGGCTGCTACAGTAACTTTCTGAACAGATTGGGTTAAATATTTTTACAGACCCACTCTATGATGATAAGGCGGCAATAATTTGTGCAGTGCAACACTCCAAAGGGTTCCAAATTTCTCAAGCCTCTTTGTATGTGATCCTCACAGTGGAGAAGGGTCTGAGCTACAAGGATGAAGAGCCTCCTTCTCCTGGTGCTGGTTTCAGTCTGTTGGGCTGATCACCTTTCAGACAGCTACACTCCGGATCAAGACAGAGTTATTCACATCCAAGGTAAGAAAGCACAAGTTTCTCGAGGGAGCATCACATGGATTTCCAGGTACTTACAGTGAGATTTGTGGTATTCGTTCATTTCTATCTTGCTGCACGAACTTTTTTCTTTCCCTTTCGGCTAATTAGTAAGCATGCTTCTGCTGCGCGGATGCTAATACGTGAGAGGGACATTGTAACTTGGGAACGATAGAAGTTAGGCATCCAGCTGCAGTGACTTAGTGTGGTTAACTTCACCTGCAATTGGTATCTTCAAGTAGAGGGGAGTGCGTGAAGTTCATTTAAATGCAATGGATGTGCAGGAGAGAGCTGCAAAGCAGAGGAACTTAGGATGTAAGGTCATTCTGTCTCAATAGTTGCTTAATGATTGAGGGAAGCAATGCAAATAAGGAAAATGCCGAATCAACCATGGGCTGGGAAATAGTAGGTACCCTGTTACAGCTGCTGTGTGAAGCTCTCGTTCCCATGGACCAATATACTGGCCCTGCATATTTCTGTTGAGCTCAGCTGAATCCTCAGCCAGAGAGCTGGAGCAAGGCTAGTGGCTGCGGTATAATGCAGCTCTTTCGTCAGCCTAAGCTTCTGTTGAGGGACATTCTGCAAAAAGAAGGCTGGGAGACTTATGCAATAAGGAAAGGTAGTCCAAGGAGCAATAGCCTCCCCACCTGCCCTTGGGTGCTAAATAATTAAATTAAGAATTACACAAGATAACAGTTTAAATAGATGTTATTACTAATTTTAGATAAGTTCAGTTTGGGAACCACCAGGAGACGTAATAAGTTTGCTAAAAGACATGAAATAGCAAGTTGTAATTTCAAGGTCAAAAGTGGTGCCTCAGGAAACTATGTTCGCTGTTGAAAACCAAGACTTGTAAAGGTCATTTGATAGTGTAAATCTGATAGAAATATTGTCCTGTAAATGTTTTGGCAGTCCAGAATAGAATTTTTAATTAATATGTCTCTGAGTGTAGGCACATCCTTTTTGGTTTTGTTTGCTGCCAGCAACTTTATTTTTTCACTGTGGAAGCATAAAAAGAAATTATATAATCGTAAATTTTCCCCTTCTGCAAACTGCTGACTCAGCTGTTTCCTTAATGTATGTATTCGAACCAAAGCTCTTGCCCAAAGGCTGTAATGGTTTTACACGCTGAGAATAAGATGAAGAATAATATTCTTTTAACTTCTAGTGGCAGAGCTCAACTCAATGCAAACAGTAATACTGAATCATTAGTAATAGCAACTTTAAATCTAATATAAAATAGCTTTGTATAACTCTGCTTTCAACTTATAAGATCTACTCAAGTTATAATATAAACCATGCAGTCTGGATAGTCTATATGAAACCCAATGGATAAAAATATTATTTTAAAAATATAATGGCATTTATAAACTTATTCATGTTAGGGTAAGTTATTTGAGCAAGAAAAACTCCTGTAGCCCAGCCCTTAAAGTCCCATGTGTTCTGTTGAAATTTAGTTAAATGGGACTCTAGACCAAGTTACCCGAGTTATTCAAATGATTTCATACCCTGTTGGATTCCTTCCAAATGCCTTGATAGTCCACTTCATTTTAATTTGTAAATTCATATTCTTAGAAAGTGTAGGCTTCCCTGGAAGGGTTACTTAAGGCTGTCAAGAGATACCATGCCTATATTTGCTGGTAGATGTTAATACTGAAATGTGGCTTAGGTCACAGCACTGTGGGGTTATTCTCAAAAGTGAACCTATTCTAAAGTTGTTCTTTCTCCACTATTCCACCCTCTGTTTTTCCTCCCGTCCTTACAGCACTCACATTGAAGTTTCAAGTTACAGAGCTCTGAGAATCCACATCCAATTGGCTCTTGTAGTTTCAGTTGTCTTTTATACCACAAATATAAACCTCATAGCACAGGAAGGAACCAGGGAGGTAGAGAGCCTTTGCTATACTCATGAAGGACTAGAGTCCTTTCTCATATTTAAACTTTATTTGTAATAACCCAGAGGAATTCAAAGAATTGAAACTCTCACAAAACGTTATGAACTATTTGTACTCCAATTATTAAATTGGCTGGCTGAACCTCATATTACTGAATTATTCCCTATAAGCAATTTGATTTCACAGAGGTGGAAAAATGTTTAGAATGCACATTATTATTAAAACATATTTTATGTCCCTTACTCATCATTAGTGTTCTGTTTTATATTCTAAATTTCCCAAGCAAGACCTAATTATATTGAATTAATATTAAATATAGTCCTCAGATTCTCCTTAGATGATTCATATAAACACGACATTTGACTGATTTGTCCTTGAGCCTCTCCCATCATAGTTACCTAATCACATTTCTGGTGGCATCTTATAGGAATATAGCCATAGAGAAGTTTAATCTGGCAAGAAGGGATGAAGAGGGAGAAAGGAAGAGGGAGAAGAAATGAGGGAGGAAGGGAGGAAAGATAGGCAGGAAATAAAATTCCAAGCACAGAGTATAGATCTCAGTTGGTAAAGTGCACACTGTACAAGGACGAGGACCTGACTCTGAATTGCCCATTACCCACATAAAAGGCTGGATGTGGAAGCACTTTCCTAACCCCGGCACCGTGGGAAGAGGGGAATCGGAGACAGATGGATTCCTGGAGCCCATCAACTAGCCAGACTAGCCTAGTCAATGAGCTCCAGATTCCGTGAGAGACCCTGTCTCAAAAATGTAAAAAGCTCAGACAAACAATAACAAATAAAAAAATAATGAGTAGGAGGAGGAGAGACCAAGGAAGACAGCTGATGTCAGCTTCTGTCTTCCATGTCTATATACAAGCGTCCACACATATACACACTTACACACATAAATAAACCACACAGACAACAGCACACACATTCATACACACACAAAGGACTACTGATTATACACACACACACACACACACACACACACACACACACACACACATGCACATACCACCCTTACTTGTAAGCAATCTATTTAATCAAGTGTTTGCCAAGCATTGGGCTGCTTTCTCATAGACAGCAGTCATGCTGTCAAAGGTTGAATCATCTCAACACACTAACTAACACCACCATCATGAGTGCAACACCAGTGATACAGAAGAAAACAAGGATGAAATAAAAGTGAACATAGAGCGAAAAGTAATTAGTCACAAAGGGGCACATTTAGAACTATGTATCCAAATTCACTGAAGTTTTTAGCCCATAAAATATAGCTTGTGAGTATTTCTAGGCTTGGTATTAGTAACAACCACTGTTATTTTATATTACTCTGCTAACTGTCAGTTAAAACCATGTAGTTTTATACTTGTAGGTACAAAATCTTCCTTTCCAGTGGCAACAAATTCACATTGGATAGCCGCTGTGTTATATGTGCTTTTCCTGGGTGCGGAAATGAAAATCTAAGAAAGAAATCAAATTATTAGAAAATACAAAAAAAAAAAAAAGATAATTAACTAGTAACCCTTTTGTTTGGATTGAAACTATATGAGAACAAGTATTGACTCAACTAAAGCACTTGCCTAAAATCTTCACAGCCTGCTAACTTTCTATTTTACCACCTAATGAAAATAGTTACATTTCTTTATTGTTTCAGCTCTTTACTTAAAAGTAAAGTGAAAATCTATTATTTTGATCAAGTCATTTGGAATAGAAACACTATCAAATTCTAACAAATTAAAACAGTCACAAAAAAAAAACAAAAACAAAAACAAAAAAAAAACAGTCACTCAAGGATAATCAAACTAATAGTATCTAAGAAAAATGAAGTCATTATTATAGAAAAATTATTCCAAAATAAAAATACTGAACATCTAAATGCAATACCTTTATAAACACTACTTCAACCACTCTAGAAGTGGTGGGACCTGGGAAAATGGAGCCGATAACTGAGGCGGACTAAAGTCTCCTACTCTAGCCAATTTGATTCAGACCATCACACAATTTACACTCTGAGAGTTCAAAGGAATCACGTGAGTAAAGTGTCCAATCACAAGGGCGAGCCACGCGTGCAGGACAAGCCATATGTAGCAAAACCATGGTTTTCCATAGAGGCATATAAACAGACAACAATAGCTAGTTGTAAAGAATAATCTGAAGGAAACTCATTCCTACCCACCACACCTGGGCAGGGCATGAAAGCATAATCCAAAATCAATCTTGTGTTCTTGAAGAAACTGAGGTCATAAGACATTTGTCTTGGTTTCTTGGAGTTTTCTCACAAGCACTAAGAAATCTCCTCACAGGACTCCATTCTTGAACTGTGTTCCCACACAGTACCTCTAGACACAGGTAAACCCAGGAATCATTATCCAGTAATCAGGACAAATGGTAGCCATTTTGCCTGGTTTATTTACATACATTGGCTACTTGGCTTCCTTGTATAGTATAATCAGTTATTAATCACCACATGTACATACTCTGAGTATATCACTTCATGTTCAAAGACTGTCCTCTGATGTGTGTTGAACAAAGTAAGTCAAACAAGAATTCACCCTACCTTTTCTACTCTTCAGTCAAAAGGGGTATAGATATCCTGAGAAACATAAACACCCCAAATCCACAATGCTTTGCGTATAAAGCCTGTTAGAACAAGAATCAGTTTATTATCGTCAGATGAGTAGACTATGTGAGCAGAATGGGAATGTGGGGAAGAAAACCTTCACTGTGTTTTTATAAAGCAGTTGAAAGTTTCTAGTGGAGAAGGCATGATTTAAAATGAGACCAGAAAAGTAAACAAAAACCAGACTACCGTAATTTTTTGCCATCCAGGGTTTCATCTTACATTTAACCATTGAAAAAATGGTTAAGTCTTAAGCAAAGATATAATCTATTATGACTGCCTCTTACAAAAGACCATGTGGACAACACACTGCAATGAATGATCCTGGAGTAATTATGAGGTAATCCTTTAAGAATGGGCTGGTTAGGTTTTGTGAACTTGACAAACTAGAGTCACCTGGGAGGAGGGAACCACTGTTGAAGAATTGCCTCCATCAGATTGGCTTGTGAGTTTGTTTGCAAGAC